TTTTTTTTTTTTTTTTTTTTTTTTTTTTTTTTTTTTTTTTTTTTTTTTTTTTTATTTTTTTTATTTATTTATTTTTTTTTAATTTTTTATTTTGTCAATATACAATGTATATGATTATTATGGCCCACCACCGACACTTCCCGCCCTCCTCCCTCTCTCCCCTCCCCCCCAAGAATGTCCTTTCCATCCGGTAAGGGGATCTTAACCCTTGACTTGGTGTTGTCAGCACCACGCTCTCCCAAGTGAGCTAACCAGCCATCCTTATATAGGGATCCGAACCCATGGCCTTGGTGTTATCAGCACCACACTCTCCGGAGAGAGCCACAGGCCGGCCCTGAGTTTTCATCTTATCTTTCTGTATACTCTTTCCCCAGGTGATATGTTAATACCCATGGAATTAAATGCCATCTTTAAACTTATGACTTCCAAATTTATATCTCTAGCTCACATCCCTACACTGAGCTCACACTCACACATCCTTTTGCTTACTTAATATCCTCACTTAAGTGTGACTTTGATAAAAATTTAACATGACCAGAACAAAATTATTGTTTTTCCTCCCAAAGTTGTTCATCTACCATCCTTAGTCTTCTTTGTCTTCCCTATGTCAGTAAATAGCACCACCATCTTGACTGGCCAGCAACTTGATTCTTTTCTTTCCTGACCCTACTCCCTACCCCTGCACTTCTAATCAAAATCTATCAAGTTTTGGTGACTTTTATCTCCAAACCGTATCTCAGTTCTACTCTTTTCTCTCCATTTCCACCATCACCTTAGACCAGACACCATCATCTCTGTCCCCAACTATAGTAACAGTCTCCCAATTAGGTTCTCCACCTCCATCCTTGCTCCCCTCAGTCCATTCTCCACATCTGGACTAAAGTAATATAAAATGAATCAGATCATGTCACATCTCTGGTTAAATTCTTTCAATGGCTTTCCTCTGTACTTTGAATAAAATGCAAACCCCTAGGGCTGGCCCGTGGCTCACTCGGGAGAGTGCGGTGCTGATAACACCAAGGTCACGGGTTTGGATTCTATATAGGGATGGCCGGTTCACTCACTGGCTGAGCGTAGTGCTGACAACACCAAGCCAAGGGTTAAGGTCCCCTTACCGGTCATCTTTTAAAAAATAAATAAATATATGAAAATCATAATGTAAAGGATGAGAGTAGGGGTGGGGTAAATGGTAAATATTGTTTTAAGGTTTTGACAGTGGTGTGAAAATTTAAAGTTCATTGTAGTCTCTATACTCACCACTAAAAGTATAATGCAAAGTGGTATAATTAGAAAGTCAATAGATAAGGGCCGGCCTGTGGCTCACTTGGGAGAGTGCGGTGCTGACAACACCAAGCCAAGGGTTAAGATCCCCTTACCGGTTATCTTTAAAAGAAAAAAAAAAAAATGCAAACCCCTTACAATGGCCTACAAAACCTTGCATCAACTATCTCTTTCTCATCTCCAATTTCAAGTCATACTTCTGTCTCCCTTACCCACTATGCTCCAGCGATGCTGGTCTGCTTTCAGTTCCTCAATCATCCCATGTTCTTTCCCATTTCTGGTCTTAGAATATATTGTTCCCTCTACCTGCAATGTTATTGCCTCACTTTTCACATGACCAGTGTTTTCCCTTCCCTAGAAGTCAACTGAAATATCTCCTTTTCAGAAAAGTCTTTTCTAACTGCCCTACTGAAAAGAGGCCCTCTCTGTTATTCACTATCTCAACTCCTTGTTTATTTTCTTGCATAGTATTTTTACAGCTTGCAGTAATATTATTTATAGGTTTTGTTGTTGTTGTTGATTTTAAATCTGTCTCTTCCATTATATTATAAGCTCTACTGCACAGGGACTGGGTATGTATGGTCCTCCAGTTTCTAGCATCCTGCTTGGCAGGAAGAAAACAATAAATATTTGAATGAATGAGCTCAATCTGAGGATAGTCTCTTCTGTTTCTGGCACCCAAATGACCCATCCTTTTGTGTTTGCTTTCTTCTGTATTAAATCTTTTGTCTCAACTCACCTGGATCTGAGCTTCTCAGATGAATTTTAGGGTTTCGAAGCAACCAAGATGGGAGACCCCCCTGAGACAAACATAAAGACGACACAGAAACATGTAGGTTTTGTTGTTTAGGGGTGCAGTTGGAAGGAAAGAAGGGAGGGAGATGCGTGTAGTGCTGGAATGGCCCTAGAGTGTGGGCAGATGGGAGGGGTCTAGGCACATGGGTGGCTTTGGTTCTACCCCTTCTCCAACTAACTCACCATCTCCCATTCTGCACAGATGTAAGGTCCTGGTCTCAGTATGACCAACAGGTCCGCTATAGCTGCCTCATTCAGAAAGGCAATGAGGTCCCGACTGCCATTAAAGTTATAGACCCCAGGCTGTGGCTCATGGTAGTTCCAGGGCACATAACTGAGAAAGGAAGAGGTTAACAGGGTCCAAGGTGGGGAGATGCCAGGGAGGCCTAAGGTCTCAGGCCTTGCAGGGAATCTCCCAGAAGCAGTTGGAAGAAAGTCCCGGTTCGCTCTTTCCCACCCTTGGCCTAGGAGCCCTAGAGCTTTAACCCCTCTTCAAACCGAGCCATTCTTCCCGTCCAGACCCACTTCCTAAGAGGGCGGTAGGAAGAGTAATCCCTTCCCTCCACGGCTCTCGCGGGTACTTCTTACAACTGTATGGCGTTAAGGCCGCTCAATCGCATCTTGAAAAGCCGGTCTGCCCAAAGCACCCGCGGTACCCGAAAATAGTGCAGGCTGCCAGACACGTAGCGGAACGGGGCCCCGTCCAGGAGGAACCTGTCGTTATCCCTATCCACTACGAACGACCGAGTGTCTGCCTGCAAAGGGAAAGAGACTGTGCTCAGCAGAGGTCTGGAGTGAGGATCAGCGTCTACCAAGGGCAAAGGAGAGGGAACTAGCCCTGCCTGCTGTTTTGTTATTCCGACTTTCTCTCATCCGCCGGATCTGATCCCGCCTCACCGCACCCAGCCGTCTTATCTTACCTGGGGTAACAGCAGCGTCAGGAGAGGCAGCAGCAGGGAGGGAAGACAGGGTGGCTTCTCGGGAGCCATGGCGCTTGCAGGGCTCCTCTAGTCTGAGACGGCGGGCCGACCGTCACGTGTCGGATTCCTAGGAGGGAACCTCATCGAGCAAAGGGGCGGAGACCACCTCAAGCTGCCAGATGGTTAGCCTGGTCTTGGCCTCCAGCCTGCGGCCACCCGCCACTCTACCAGTTTGTAAAATCCCTACGTCTTGCTACTCTTAAGTGCAGTTCACGAACAAGCTTCATCAGCGTCACCTGGGAGCTTGTTAGAAATGCAGAATCTCAGGTCCTACCTCAGATCTAAAGAATCAGAATTTTTATTTTAACAGTGTTCCAAGGCGCTTCTAAGCACATTGAAGATTGAAAAGCACTGCTGTACTAGACGGCTCCCTGAGGGTGGAGAGCGCCTTGTCCATCTTGAATTCTCAGCTTACAGGGCCTGGCACACAGCAGGTTAAATCTCGATGAATAAATGCCAGAACCAAAGGGCTAAAACAGGTTCAGAATCAAAAGAAACTGTAGGAAAATCTTCATGGCAATCAGGGGTGTGGAAGTGGGGAACCAGGTTGCAAGACAGACATTTTCCCTGGAGAGTCCTATTTCCCGGCCGGCCATTCCATCTTTGGGAGTGCACCCCTTTGAAACTTATCCCTTCGGCCTAGGCAAGAGATGTCAAGGACAACTGCTTAGTGCCAAGACTTGGTAATTTGTGAATTTCCACTCCTTCCGTCTTCACAGTTCCAAGCCTGGGATGTGACCGTCAGGGTAATAAGTAATAATAGTTACTATTACTGTTTATTAACACTGAGGTCTATGTGTCAGCTAAGCACTTTATATCTCATTTAATCTTCAAACGACTCCGTAAAGTAGATAACTATCACTTCCATTCTACAGATGAGAAACTGAAGGACAGTTAAACAGCCCATCCAAGATCACACAACTAGTTTAGTAGAGCTGGGATCTGAACTAGTTAGTCCGGTCCCACGGTTCATGCACTTAAACTGAGGTACAATTATAACTATTTTACAGTTACAAAAACTGAAGATCCAAGAGGTTAAGTAACCTGCCCGAGGTTACACAACTAGTAGGCTATTAAAGCCTGGCTTTAGAAACTGTCAGTCTGGTTCAAGAGCCTGAGCTCTTAACCACTGAGACTAGGGTAGTGGCCAGAGCCCCAAAGCTTGGACTGATCAGAGCTTCAGGAGTCCAGTCCGCCAGCAACCGCCCTTCCCTGCATCCCTTTCCGGGCTGGACTGGTCGACCGCTTTCTGGCCCCAGCGTGTGGGAGGTATGAAGCCTCCTACCTCCGACATTGGGAGATGGAGGTCCTGGGGGCTTCGGGCCGAGCCCGGCTTTGCTCCCCTTTGGCGCAGGTGCCCGCGTCTTGACCCCTACTGAAGGCTTGGTAGGGAACCTTCACCCGGGTCCTGGGACCCGTCCACCCCAGTCCTATCCCGCCCCGGGCCACTCGGCTCCGCGCCCCCACATCGTCCTGATGCTCAGCGGTTGCTAGGAAAACGCGGACAGTTGCGCTGGCGCGGACTGATGATGTAAGCATTGCTTCCGGTCGCTGGCGCTTCTCTCCCGCCAGAGCCAGGTCAGTGGTGGGTTCGGGCTAGCCGACCCTGGGCATTGCGCGCCGTGGCCGGTGAGGGCTCTGCAAGGGGTGGGCCTGAGCCTCACACCTACTCTGAAACTACCCTATGCCCTACCTTTGCGGCCTGGTGGGCGTGGGAGCGGGGGACGCCCAAGGGTGGGCTGAGGTTGGGGAAAGTAGCCTGGTCGTCGCTGCGTGGCCTGAGGCTTTAAGGCGCCCGACCCCAGCCTTGTTGGAGCTGGCGTCGCCAGGGCCGGTTTTCTCGGGAATATAGGTTCCGAGACCTGGGCCTGAACTGTCCCCATCGGTACTTCAGGGCTCGTCCGGATTGTGCTGGACCCGGGACTCTGCTGTTCTTTTTCTTCCAGCATGATCTTCTGTGCCCCCAACTCATCGCCTGGAAAAGCCCACTCACCCTGTACTAAACCTTCATCCTCAGACCGTCCTTGAGGAGGATGACTGAGACACTATGGGCCACGCGTTGTGTGTCTGCTCTCGGGGAACTGTCATCATTGACAATAAGCGTTACCTCTTCATCCAGAAACTGGGGGAGGGGTGAGTGTTTCAGAATCACTTAGCTAGTCCGCAGGGTTATGGTCGTTGAGGGACAGCCGTTTGCACATGATAGGGGCACAAGGGTTTTATCGCTATCCCTAACTGGCCTGACAGAGCCTAGCTGCATGGTGGTCAAGAAAGTGGATCTGGAACCAGGCCTCTTAGATACGCTTTGAGTGACCTTGATAAACCACGGTTTCTTCATCTGCGTAATGGAGATGATTGCCATGCCTCACTGATGGAGTTGTGAGGATTAATTGTGATAATGTATATAAAATGTCTCACCCAGACGTGCCTGGTTCTTAAGCACGTGATAAATATTGACTATTATTCATTTAATATTTATTGAGCATCTGTCAAGTGCAGAGCACTGTGTTATGACCGTGGGACCTCAAAAATTTCTATGTCCCTGCTCTTGAGGATCTCAAACTGCGATAATCTTCAGACCTCTCAGAGCCATATCTTGGGAGGGTTTCTACTAAATGGGAGAGACACTCCCCAACACCCCTGGGAATTCCTCTGGGTCCAAGCCATGTGGGAGATGACCATGGTCCTTCACTGACCCCTTTGGCCCACAGTGGGTTCAGCTATGTGGATCTAGTGGAGGGGTTACATGATGGACACTTCTACGCCCTGAAGCGAATCCTGTGTCATGAGCAACAGGACCGGGAGGAGGCCCAGCGAGAAGCGGATATGCATCGCCTCTTCCATCACCCCAACATCCTTCGCCTTGTGGCTTACTGTCTGAGGGAGCGGGGCGCTAAGCATGAAGCCTGGCTGCTGCTACCCTTCTTTAAGGTAAGAAAGACTCCTAGTTATGGAGCAGGTTGAAACAAAGCCACCCACCAAGGGCTGTGTGAGCAGTCAAGTGTGTTAGGAAGCAAGGGCCATGTCCTGGGTTTGGTCACTTCACATTTGAGGGTTTAGAGGAGCCCAAATAGGACTGTGGGGTTTGAGGTGTGTGTGGTGAAACGGCTAATAGGCTTTGACATAGGGAAGGGATCAGGCCCAGGGAGCAGAGGCTCCAAAAACCTCTCCAACTGTGGGGACACTTGTGTTGCAGAGAGGTACGCTGTGGAATGAGATAGAAAGGCTGAAGGACAAAGGCAACTTCCTGACTGAGGATCAAATCCTTCAGCTGCTGCTGGGTATCTGCAGAGGCCTTGAGGCCATTCATGCCAAGGGTTATGCCCACAGGTCAGTGGGAGGGCCCTGTGTACTTGGCTCGGGCTGAGAGGAAAATCCTCACCAAGAGAAATGGGAGGTCTGAGCTCTTCTCCTAAGAAACAGCCTCCATGATTCCTTTGCTCCCTGGGATTCCAGCCTCCCTGTCCAGGGATGCTCATGTGTCATTTCCACTTCCTTACAGGGACCTGAAACCCACCAATATCTTGATTGGAGATGAGGGGCAGCCAGTTTTAATGGACTTGGGTTCCATGAATCAAGCATACATTCATGTGGAGGGCTCCCGTCAGGCCCTGGCCCTGCAGGTAAGAGAGTCTCCATCCTGTTCCCCAGTCCCCAAACCATTCTGATACTTGCCCACCTGTTCCCCAACCCCTTCTGGTACGTGCCTCAATCTGGTCACATGACAGTAGCCTGTGCCCCACTTTTGAGCTCTGGGGCCACTGTTCCAGGACTGGGCAGCCCAGCGGTGCACCATCTCCTACCGGGCCCCGGAGCTGTTCTCCGTGCAGAGTGACTGTGTTATCGATGAGCGGACTGATGTCTGGGTGAGGAACCTGTGGGTGGGAATCTAGGTGGGGAAGGGTGTGGTTCTGTACCTACTAGGGAGTAGAGGAGTAGGTCTTTGGTTTCCGTTATATGGGGCCCCAGGAACCCCACTATGTCCCCATCCCCCTCAACTTCCTTCCTGGGAACTGTCACTGATACTGTACTCAGCTGCACAGGAAGTGATATTAACCCTGTCCATGAAGAGGGGGTTACAGCTCAGTGTCAGTGCTGAAGGCAGTGGCTAAGCAAGGGCTTCAGAGGCCTCCAGCTAACTGGCTGTTTCTCTGAGCCCTGGTGGTCCAATGTGGTTGAGGTCAGCAGGGGGAGCAATGTCACCTCCGTTGGTCTCCTCACAGGGACTAAACAAGTTGTGCTCAGTCCCTAGGCTGCGTGCTATATGCCATGATGTTTGGGGAAGGCCCTTATGACATGGTGTTCCAGAAGGGTGATAGTGTGGCCCTTGCTGTGCAGAACCAACTCAGCATCCCACCAAGCTCAAGGTGAGCAAAAAGAGGGGCACCAGGAATTTGACTTCTCCCTGGTATTAGCTGAGTTGGAGCCTTACCAAGGGGGATAAGTGTCCTCCAGTCACCCTGCCTTCCTCTCTCCACAGGCATTCTTCAGCATTGCGGCAGCTGCTGGCTTCGATGATGACTGTGGACCCCCAGCAGCGCCCTCACATTCCTCTCCTCCTCAGTCAGTTGGAGGCACTGCAGCCCCAAGCTGCTGGCCAGCACACTACCCAAATCTGAACAAACCAGTGGCCACATTGACAAGGTGGCCCCTTTATGCCTTGGAAAGAGGCTCTCATCCATCATTGGAATCTCCATCCATTCTATCCAGGACTGCTCTTTTATAGTTGGGGACGGGGATGGGGACCATCATCTCAGTACTACATCTGCTCTTCTGTTCTTACCGCCAAGAGCAATACCTGGGCAAGGTGCCTGATTGAGTCGGGGTGGGAGTGGGGGAAAGGGAAACTGATAGAATATGGCTCTGAGCAGGACTGCTGAGCTCACATCATGTTCTGCCTCCAAAAAATAAAGTCAAAGCAGATTGGCGTGGATGTTAGTCTCAGTGTTTCTGGAGTGACAGAAGAGGCGCAAGGGGCCTAAAGTATGGTTGCCATTTCCAAGGAAACAGCTTGGGACCAGTGAAGAGTCAGCAGTGGTGTGACTTCCATCATTCCGTGTAAGAAGGTAGGTGTCCTTACCTTAGATCTGGCTGTTTGACAGTGGGCCGTTCTTCTAGCTTGTCTTAGTCAAAAACTTAAAGCTGCTCTGGCTTGCATTGGCTTTTACCTGGGCCAAGAACTGGGAACAGGGCCCCCTAAAATCAGACTCAACTAGTTCTTTCCTTCCTTCATTCCCAAGGGGTGGGTGGATTAGTCAAAGCAGTCCAGCCGGTTTGCCAGGCAAGGGCCTGTGGGTACAGGCATCTGAGGAAGCTTTGGGACAGCTACATAACAGGGCTCCCACCCTCAGCCTTGGGGCAAGGGGAGTGGAATTGGCAGCCATTTTGGCCCATGTCTGTCTGATAGTTCTAGCTCACACATGGTTAATGATTAATGAGGCTAGTGTGGTGTGACAGTATCCAGCTGCCACTTCCTGTCTACACTGGTGAGTAAACAGGGGCCCTGCCTTAGCTGGGCTTGAAACCTGTTCCCCAGGAAAGGGCACTGTGTCCCTGAATCACCAGGGAGTGGAGGAAAGGGCAGGTTTGGCATCTACTGCTCCTGAGATCGAAGCTTCCTCCCCCCAACCATGCCCACCCCTATATGCTGATGTTATTGTGGGTCCTGGGGTGCCTATTAGCAGAGTTGAGATTTTCCCTAGGGCCCTGGCAGGAGGCTCCCACCAGCTAGCACAGAGGCTAGGCCAGAAAGAAAGCACACACAGAGGAGATGACCTGAGTTTTAATGACACAGCCCCAGCCCCAGCCAAGCAGCAAGACGGACAGTAAGCCATGCAAAGCTACCGGGAGGTGAAGTATCACAAACAGCTCTAGGAGCCTGCCCTTGTTCCCACCCATCCCCCAAGCTTATGATGTGGCTCCATGCCCAGGAACTCTGGGCCAGGCTAACCCCATTCCCAAAACCTTATAACGCAGAGAGGAGTCTGGGCCAAGCCTTCCTTCCAGAGTTGGTGAATGCAGAAGCAGCAGGAAGAATAGAGTAGCAGTCCAACTCTCCGATACACAAATTACTCCTACTTGGAAAGGAAGTGAAGATTTGTATCCTTCAGTAGTTTGTGGCTGGACAGACAGGTCCAGGATTTGGCCCTCATTGCCTCCCTCTCCTGGGTGTCCCAGGACCTTACATCAAGGTCCCTGGAGTCCTGCTTCTTGGGCCTGGCAAAGGCCCCTTGGCAGGCCTCACCTTCAGCCCTGGAAGGGAAAAGGGTCACGAGCAGCAAATAGCCAGGGCGGCAGCAGCAGCAGCAGCAGCAGCAGCAGCACAAAAAGGGGAAGGCAGCAGAAGCTCAAGCACTCACAGAGGGGACAAGAAACCGTGCAAAGAGACTGTTTATTTCGAAAGAATTTTGCAATAAACATAGTAAATAGGCTCCAGACAACTGTTCTATTCTTCTCCCTCATCCTCATCTTCATAGGAGTCGATGCCTACTTCCTCGTAATCCTTCTCCAGGGCAGCCATATCCTCCCGGGCCTCAGAGAACTCACCCTCCTCCATGCCCTCGCCCACATACCAGTGTACAAACGCCCTCTTGGCATACATCAGGTCAAACTTGTGGTCCAGGCGGGCCCAGGCCTCGGCGATGGCGGTCGTGTTGCTCAGCATGCACACGGCACGCTGCACCTTGGCCAGGTCACCTCCAGGCACCACAGTGGGCGGCTGGTAGTTGATACCAACCTTGAAGCCTGTGGGGCACCAGTCCACAAACTGGATGCTGCGCTTGGTCTTGATGGCGGCAATGGCGGCGTTGACATCCTTGGGCACCACATCTCCGCGGTACAGCAAGCAGCAGGCCATGTACTTGCCATGCCGGGGATCACACTTCACCATCTGGTTGGCAGGCTCGAAGCAGGCATTGGTGATCTCTGCCACCGACAGCTGCTCATGGTAGGCCTTCTCTGCAGAGATGACTGGTGCGTAGGTGGCCAGGGGGAAGTGGATGCGAGGGTAGGGCACCAGGTTGGTCTGGAACTCTGTCAAGTCCACATTGAGGGCCCCGTCGAAGCGCAGAGAAGCTGTGATGGAGGAGACGATTTGGCTGATGAGGCGGTTGAGGTTGGTGTAGGTTGGGCGCTCGATGTCCAGGTTGCGGCGGCAGATGTCATAGATGGCCTCGTTGTCCACCATGAAGGCACAGTCTGAGTGCTCCAGGGTGGTGTGGGTGGTCAGGATGGAGTTGTAGGGTTCAACCACGGCTGTGGACACTTGGGGAGCTGGGTAGATGGAGAACTCCAGCTTGGATTTCTTGCCATAGTCAACAGAGAGCCGCTCCATCAGGAGCGAGGTGAAGCCAGAGCCCGTGCCCCCTCCAAAGCTGTGGAACACCAGGAAACCTTGAAGTCCTGTGCACTGGTCAGACTGAAAGGCAAGAAAGAGAAAGAGCAATGTAGGTAGGTGAGGGGCCTGAGGAACTCTATCTTCTGGCTCCATACAGCCTAAAATATTTCAGAAGCACTGGCTGGTTAGCTCAGGTGGTTAGAGCATAGTGTTATAACACCAAGATCAAGGGTTCAGAGCCCTGTACTGGCCAGCTGCCAAAAAAAAAAAAAAAAAAAAAATTCAGAATTCAGGGCAAAGACCAATGAATATCCATATTAGTATCACACCCTGGAACACATACAGTTAAAGATGAATCCCTGAAATGGATCTGAAAAAAATGTTCCTGACCACAAGCACAGGCTCAAAAGCTCCATCCTTTCCATGCCAAATTCTCACCAGCTTGCGGATCCGGTCCAGTACCGGGTCGATGATCTCCTTGCCAATGGTATAGTGACCACGGGCATAGTTGTTAGCGGCATCCTCTTTTCCAGTGATGAGCTGTTCTGGATGAAAGAGCTGTCGGTATGGGCCATTTCGGATCTCATCTGGAAGGGCATAAACCACATTGTTAGGGCAAAAACCACAAGGCTGTGCTCATCAGGGACCTCCCCCAGGGTGGTAGCTGTGGCTAGATATATGGAAGAGCTCATCCTTCTGCCAGGCTGAGATAGCAGAATATGACAAACCCAGACTTGTGTGGGTCAGCCTGAGATCAGCTTGTCTTCAGCTTCAAATAGGACTAGGAATTTTCAGGGCCAGGAAAGCCAGATCTAGACACACTCTGTCCAGAGAGAAGTTTTGAGGCACTCTCTACACCCCGCCCCCCAATTTTGCCCCCTCTTCCACTCACCAATAACAGTGGGCTCCAGATCCACAAAAACTGCCCGGGGCACATGTTTTCCAGCTCCAGTTTCACAGAAGAAGGTGGTGAAGGAGTCGTCCCCTCCACCAATGGTCTTGTCACTGGGCATCTGCCCATCGGGCTGAATCCCATGTTCCAGACAGTAGAGCTCCCAGCAGGCATTGCCCATCTGGACACCTGCTTGCCCCACATGGACTGAGATGCATTCACGCTGAGGGATAAGAGGGGGGACACAGCATAAGCCCCATATCTACAAGTCCTCACTTCCTGGGCATCTCTCCCACCCTATCACCTACCAGCTAGAATGATTCAGTTGGCAAGAGTGCAGGCTTGGGTCTGGGGAGAGGTCAGAAGAGGCTGGCAGCCTGCCCAAAGCTCCCCTGTACAGGATTCCTCAACTGGAAGCACAGAGGAGGGCAGGCCAACCCCTTAGACTACTTCCCAGTGGGAAATTTGTCAGGTGAGAGCTGTGGCTCCATATGACCCTGCCACAGTCAGGACACACAGGGAGAACAGAGAGGGCAAGTGCACACGAGACATGTGGTAACTGAAGACAAGGATAAGAGACTTTTCAGCTGCTCCTGATGCCTACTGCCTACAAATCCAGCTTCTCAAGAGCCTGAGAAGGGGCAGAAGGTTTTCCAGAACTATGAGTTTATAGCTAGAGCCCCCCTACTTGATTAATTCTTTGCTTGGAGGATGAACAAGTAGAGTTTCATATAACCTTCTCCCCTTTTCTTTCCTGTGGGATGCAGAGGTATCTCAGCCTTCCCATCTGTTATCAGCTGGCCATCAGGATGTCCTCTCCCCTCACCTTTAAATCCCATCTGGCTCCTCTCCCCACCTCTACCCGTGCACTCTGGGTGTCCTCACCACCTTCATCCACCGTGTCAGCCCGCACAGAAATAGCAGCGATAATGCTGGTAAGAGCAGACGGCAGGGGCGGGCAATAAGGGTTGTGGGCACTGGGGCACTCGCTGCCTTAGGCTCCGTCCTTGCCAGTGCGAACTTAACCCCTGAAGCCCCAAGTCCGCGAGACTCGCGATCCTCCCTTCCCACATAGAAATGGCGGGGTGACGGTTTCCAAATACCCAGAAAAGGAAGTGGAACCTGCGGTGAGGCCCCAGAGGTAACCCGCTTTGCCCCGGGCAGGCTGAGCGCCATCCTGCACCTTGGCCCTACATCCGCTCTTCCTCCGGAGTCTTTCCAGCTACATCCCAGCAGAAAGCGGGGATTGGGTTTCGGCCCCCGCTGCTGAGCTATAAATACCATCCCCCTACACACACCTCTTTCCCCTCCCCCCCAACCTGGCCTTGGCCCGCGCTGTCGCTCAGCGCCAGCTGTCTCTGCTTGTCCGCGCACCCGTGCTCCGGCTGGAGACAGGCAGGCTCCCCTCACGAGGCTGAACCCCATTCCTGCCACCCGTCCTGGCTCACAAACGGGGTGCTGAGTCACCGGGGGAGGAACAGGAGGGATGCATGCACAGAGGAAAAGGGGATGCGGCACCAAGTAACCTGACCCCATTCCACCTTCTCGCGCCAAGCACGTGTTCGGTCAGTTCCAGTGACTGAGGGGCAGGGATGGGGGATGGAGGGGGG